ACACACCAACAGATCGTTATGAGACTAGATTGTTCGTGAGGCCAGCACTGCCCAAATCTCCTTCCTTGAACACCGGAAGGACTGAAGGCTTCTATGCACATAGAGAAGGACACGCAAGCATTCCTAGCACACCCAGCCCTCCTTCCCTGTTGGCACCATAAGAGCAAGTAAGCTAGTGGCCAAATACTGAAGGTCCGGTGCCCACACCTGAGCTTCTTAGAAACTCGGGAAATGACGGAGCTGAGAAAGGAGCCAGGCCAACCTTATCTTCAGCTTCTGGAAAATGTAAAGGCTATAAATAATACGAACAATGGTGGGGAGGGTGGGGGAGAGGCGTATGCAAGGGTAGATACTCATTCCGTGACCATCCATTATCCGGAAATCGTAAAACCCACCTTCTATTACTTTATTTATAAATCTCTCCACCCCTTGCTAAAAGTACAGTGTAAAATATATCGAAATTTCAAGCTAAAATGAATCTAAATAAATTTTGTTCTGCAGCTCTTCTGAATGTTCTGAGATAGCTATTGACACCCGGGAGGCACATAGCTCAGAGCAATGTGAATCAGCTTCACAAGTCATTCGCGGGGAATATGCGACTAGAACCAGAAAGAGTTCTGCTGGGCTCCCCCTTTCAGCCCGGCTGTGCCTCCCCCATCTCCTTCGGCTTTCTCTACCATTTACTCTGCTGGCGTTCACTGTAGCAAATGCACACCAGTGTGCACAGCTCACCACACCCTGCAGAAACTGGCACACACACACACAAAGCCTAAAGTAGCATGTGAGTCAGGTATGGTTCCTGTAATTACCACCAGCGATGTAAGGGGATGCCCGTTAATAACCAGTGCTCCCAGAAAGTGTAAATGAAGCCCACAAACTCTCTGACATTCCTCCCTTCCCTGCAGCGGCTACTTCCCTTATTAAAAATATATCTGTGGACCGGACACAGTGACTCACTTCCAGTGAGCAGAGCAGGACAGAGTGACCGTGTGACTCCTGAGATCAGACGACAGAGCACGTGGCTTCCTCCTTGCTCTCCCATGATCACCCAATCTGGGAAAGCTGGCTGCCATGTTGTGAGGACACTCAAGCAGCCATGCAGAGTCCATGTGGAGAGATGCCAAGGCCTCTGCCAACAGTCCTGTGGGTGGCCCTCAGGTGCCAGCAGCCCTGGTCACCATTATGTGTGGCCCTGAGCCAGAACCACCCAGCCAGGCCACTCCTTAATTCCTGACCCACAGAAACCGAGAGGTAATAAATGATTACCGTTTTCAGCCACTCTGATTGGAGGTCATCTGTTACACAGCGTAGATAATTACTATACAAACTCTCCAGAGGCTTCCCAGAAAACAGAAACCCACAACAACACCCTGGCACCTACCCGGGCATCTTGGTCAATCAGCTCATAATCGATGACAGAGCCGTCCTCTGCTCTTCTACCCTACAGAGGAAAAGTTAACAACATCAAATATACTCCTTTGCACATTTTTTAAGTCATGTAAGCCATTATTTAATTCACTGAACAAATACCCATTTAAAATTTTTCTTCACTTTGAAGTCTAGACCAGACCAAGGATGGATGAAATAGCTGAGGAAGTGGGGTGGGGGCTGTGCCTCACAGCATCACCCGCTTCTCGGTACCCAGTCCTGGGCCAAGCCCCTTACAGATCATCCCCGCTCGAAAAAGAAAAAGCAGCTAATGATCCTGAGTTTCTCCCCTCAGAGCATACAGTCCAGATGGAGAAGAAGCATGGCCCACGAGGAAAGCACAGCAATCTCTGGCTCTACGATGTGAAATGCAAGTGAGGGAGGATCTGTCAGGGAGTCGAGCCAGCAAGGTCTGCGGACAGTGGGGACGGGGAAGTGAGCCGGGGAGGATGTCAGCCAGGCTCGTGAAGGGCAGGGGAGAAAGCCACTCCGCAGCAGCACCAGCACCGGCGGCACGGGGAGGGAGGTGATGCCGGCTACAGCAGGTGAGAGGAGGGAATCCCAGGAAGATCAAGAAGGGAGAACCACAGTGCAGGGGACTCTTAAAAAGCAGAAAGCCTGGATTTGATGCCGCTGAAATGGTTTTTGATCAGGGGAATAAAATGATGAAAAAAGACCATTAGATGGCGGCAGGCAGGGCGGTGGAAGGGAGCAGAGCCGGGGAGGCGGCTTGGAGCTGCCCCAGGGATGGAGATGCGAGTGGGCAGGAGACAGCATCCAATCGGTCACTTGTCCTCAGGTTCCTGGGGAAAAGAATTTCTCTTCCCTCCCTGGCACGTAGGCTTTAAACTGCATACTGGTCAGAACTCCGATTTAGAAAGGAAATGCCGTTCACCCTCATTAATGTGTTAACATTAGCAAACAAAGGCCTCCCCACCCCTCTCCAGGCAAAAGACTACACAGGCCGATCTTCTCATCAGAAGTGAGAGCAGGTGAAAGAAACAACGGGGTCGCTTCCACTGGGTCCTCGGTGACCACAGAGAGAGGCAAAGCGACCTTCTTCAAGTCACGTGGCAAGAGCTGGCACATAAGTCCAGGCCAGGACGTGAGAGCCGCCCACCCCTCCTCTGGCCCACAAGTCCACCTGACCATGCCGTTTTGCTGGATAAGAAATCCCATCACAAAACAATGACAACTCTGCAGGGACAGGGCAAACCCACTGTCGGAAATGCAGCTGCCGTTTCTGATGCGGGCACAGAGGACTGAGTTAATTCACTCTCAAGTATAAAATGAGGTATGGGACTTGCCTTGGGAAGAAGCAAGAACAAAGAAATAAGCCGGAAACCAACCTTCGCGAGGGCAACCATCAGCTTGCGGAAGTCGCCGGATGTGTCGGAAATAATGTCCTTCTCCAGATCAGTCTTGTACACTTGGAAAGCAACACACGTGGGTTACGCTTCCTGCCTGTGCAGCCAGCCAGCCACTCCACCCACCTCTGCCCAAATGTAAGTGGATTTCCTAGAATGAACTGAACCCTCATCAACCCAGAGCCAGTGTTCTTTCTTATCAGTAACAAGGGGCAGACCGAGCTGGATCATATATCAGGTCACGCTCAAGCTCACCTTCGATCAGTGACCCCTTCTGAACATAAAAAAAATTGAAGGGCTACACACACACACACACACACACACACACACATACATGCGCGCGCGCGCGCGATTTATTATCCACTGAGCAAGAAAGTGCACAATGGCAGAAACTAATAAGATTTAAGTAGTACTTGTGAGTTAATTTCCATTATTCAAAATAGCATCTATATTGAAACACAGAACACATACCCATGTAAGCTGCATCATTTATCCTACCCACAGCCTCCTATACTGCTCGGTGCACACGGGTCCCCATGCCTCTCACAACAATCTCTGGGCCCACAGGTGGGAACCCCCTGAGCGGAGGCTGGGTGGCACCCAATGAATGAAAGCCATGTATACCTTCCACTTCTCCCCATCTCACCTTTTCAATAGATTTTGATTTCTCTCCTGCCTGTCCTTTTGCAGAAGTCCTAGTGGAAGGTAATAATCAAAACCCTGGCCATAAGCAGGTGGAGGAGAGGGACCTGGACCACGGCAAACCTCTGGACAAAGGGTAGGCACTTCTGCATCCGTAACCAGGCCGCCTACACTGAACAATGGCCCAGAGAGCTATGATGGGGGCTAGAGAAGCTGGGCTGAGAGGAGGTATCACAGAAGCAGGGCTACTCACTTTCCTTGTAGACTCTGTTAATTTCCTGCAGCTCCTGGTTGGTCCTGGAGCAGATGATCTCAATGAGAGAGTCCTCATCTGTGCCCAGCCCCTGTGAACCAGGAAGAACAATGTCAGCAGGCAAGTCCTCCTGGCCATTAGCTTTCTCTGATCTCAACCAGGTAAACTGCAGACATGACCAGGTCGCATGCTCCCTCCTGCATCCTACTGAGGGATCTGTACTGTATTCCTCAGCACAAGCTGATGTTATTTTCTATGCTTCACCTGAATACAAGATGGTATGGCATATTTGAGTTCAACTATATTAAATATTTTTTTTATAGTGAATAGGGAGAGACACCAAAATGTTAAAAGTGGTTGTCTTTTGGTGATGGGTTTATAAAATGGGTAACTGTTTCTTATTCCCATTTTTCTTTATTTTTCGATTTCTATAATCACCCACTATTTTAATAGATGGGAAAATAACTTTCTTTACTAAACAACTCTGGTCAGTCATTTAAAATAAAGGAATATAGAGATTTCATGTTATCATTTCCAGCCAACATCGTCAGATTTAAATTAAGTCTTTTTTTTTTAACCAGAAATAGGTAGAGATAAGATGAAATTTCTAGCTTCGCCTCTTTGAAATGTAAAATTGGGTTAATGTTAAAAATTTCATTCTTATATTTCCATTTTTGCTTGATTACTATGCACTCTTCGGGCATTTTAGGGAAGCAAAAGGAAATAATGAAGTGCCAAATAAACCTAGACATCAACGCTTTATTAAGGAATAAGAATTTGCTGGGTGATGTATTCAAATTTAATATATACACTTTTGAGCGAGCCAGACAGCTTGAAAGGACGCAATGAAACATGTATTTCAAAGCTAGCTTCATGATCAAAGTCAAGATTTAATAATCAGGACTCTCTAATACTTGTCTTTCTGAATATGGAAATATCACTTTGAACTAAGTGGAATTACAACTGTTTAAAATGTAAATCAATTATAAGGTGTTACTACAATAAGAAACTTCCTGATCCACATGAAAAGTATGTCAGCTATTAATTAAACTTATTAGAGTTTATATGCCCCTGAAAAGTGGTTTGTGTAATATAAACTAAGCCTCAGGTTAATGGTTAATTTTGAATTTTATTCTTAATCTAATCTGTGAGCCAATGCCTCTTCCTCCAGAGTTTTTCATCACAATTCATAGAGGTTCCAAGCAAAATCAAAATTTATTTTCTTCTTAGCTAAGGTTCTACCAAGCATTCTATGCAAGTGCTACAGAATGACTACCAAACATCTTCAAATATTGCAGAGGGCAGTTTTTCCATCTAACAATAACTCATGCATTGGAAATGCATGCAGACATGTAAAGCAGGTATGCAACGTAAGGTGTGTTTTCCTCCATCACTGAGATACCAGTGCTAACATCTGGACATTCCAATAGTGGTTTTATCTCTATATTCAAAGGTGACCTTGGCAATTTCTGGGCCCAGCTTTCCCCAGACTGTCTACAATTCCTATCACAAGGGCAACTTCTCCCGTAACACATGGCAGTATCACCAATGGTATCGCCAGAAGTCAAAACAAAATTTTTTTAAAAGCACACAGTTCATCTGATGTCCCTTCAAGCTTTACGGGTTTCAGAGGGGTACTGGGCTGTGAGGGCTAATGGAAGAGCTGGCATCAGGACAAAGATTTAGAAGTCAAAGCACCTTTCATTGGGCCCAATCACAAGATTACCACGGTGACTGACAGCTCAAACAGGTCTGTCTCATGTCACCAATCCTGGTAATAGATACTAGTGAAATGGCATGAGTCACAACTAATGAGCTCCTGATGAAAATAAGATACACAGATGTGCAGTGATGATAGTCAGAAGACACCTCAGAGAGGCCAGCGCATCGATGGCTCCTAAGGTCCCTGGCTTGGTTTTCAGGGAGAGTTCTTTTTATCCAGCGGGATCATGGCGTGTTGTTGACATTTATCATTCTTAATCAGATCTTCCCTGCAATATAGCCGACTTAGTGAACTCAGGGCAAGGCTGCTCAGATAAACTAGAGGAGGAAGGAAGATCTCGCCACAAACCTTTCAGCAGCCTGGAGCGACCTATCAAGTTCGCGACCCTGGACATGCCTGGTGTGGGAAGCTGCCTCCCTCGAGAGGGGCTCTCTGGGGAAAGGGATGACAACCGAACTGTGACATCGGCTCTGGTGACAGGCTCGGTCTCTTCATAGTTCAGGGACAGTGGCACCGCAGAAAACGCACTCCGACTTAGAATAAAGAATCAGAACTACAGCTTTCTCCCTAAGGCGGAAGCTTTCCCCAGGTCTGTCAGCAGAGGGCAGTATCTGATTACTCAAAGTGTTGCAGCCGCACACTATGAAAGGGTCGTTTTGTGCTTTGCGGGAACATGCTTTTATGTGTATGCATCTGTTACATCTGTATCCTGCTTGATGTTTTACGTGCACACAAAATTCAGGGTGTTTCCAAACTGAGATTCTGACGCTGTAACTTAAACTAAAATTCCATGTTCAAAAATAACTTCGAAAAGAAAAACAAGAGGAAATATGTGCTACAATACTTTAAACGAAACGCAGGTACCACTCACAACCTGAAGTCACTCTTTATGTGCACTGTGATGTTCTGGTTTTGCCCGGATTTGAATTAAACAATAGGACTGACAAGGAGGTCAGGAAAAGAAAGACCCAAGAACATGGGCAGAATTTGGGAGCATCACTTAACAAAAGCTCTGAGTTTTACTTTTGCCTCAAATATCACAACAAATCTTTTCCAAGGAGGAAGTGTAATCAAGGAAGTAGTTTTTCCAAATGGTATTTCAATTGCCCAGGTGCCGAGCAGTAGCAGCTGGTAACTGACTTCTCAGCATCATGAAATTTCTTTACAGGCTTAAAAAAAAAAATAATTGAAATATTTTTGGTACAAATCTTAAGACTTATCGCTTCAGTTCATTAAAAAAAAAAAAAGATGGTTCCAAATGAGAATTCAACAAAACCGAAAATCACCCACTTATACTCAGAAAGCTGTAATTCACAAATATCAACGGCCGAGATTGCACCCCACACGTGCCTACCTTCATGGAGGCCTTCAGCTCGGAAGCATCGTACTGAGCAGGTGTTTTCAAGAGGCCCAGAATCACGGTCTCCAGGTGGCCGGACAAGGCTGACTTGAGTGCTGACGCAAGTTCCTTCAGGGGAAAAACATGGAAATCATGGTTGGTAACCAGTATTCACGTTAAAGCTTGGGGAAAACCAAAGAGGGATGTGTTTGGGAAGCAGGCTGTGATTTTGTGACTATTCAGGGTCTTGGATCAAACTATCCCTCAGCTGCAGGCCCTTCAACAGATGCAGGTGTCAGAGACCAAAGGCTCAGACCTTCCCCTGACAGAACCCCTTCAAACCCAAGCTGATGTTGCCTCCCCCACCCCACCCCAGGCATTACAAGGAAAGCAGAGCAGGATGCAATCCCTCAGGAAGTGACACATGGGAGGGCAGTGTCCAATACACCTGCTCGTGGCCAGGGCCGGCGGAAGGCGGGCACTTTCTGGGGTCAGGGCCTCTGCCAAGAAGGAGCTGGCGTGAGTGGAGAGCAGGGACGCCGTGACCTGTGGATACTGTCCTGTGAAAGGTGTTGGTACAGCTGTGCCAAGGGTAGTCCTGAACGTATCGAGAAGGGACCGTGGCTGGAAGGGGCTCATGAAGCCTTCCTGTGCAGAACACCTCACCCAAGACCAAGAAAACGCCGGTTTGTTCATGCCACAATGGGATGGGCTGGTAGTGACGATGGAGACTAAAGCCCCATGACCTCTCTGACGTCCCCACTGCATGCTATTTCTCAAGGGTTCCACTGTCACATTAACACAGATTTTAAGTCATGAGTCGGTGGCACCCATGGATGCAGACAGATACCCCCGAATTCAATGCTGCTCTTAACCAGGCTTCCTCGGGATCACGTTTCCTACAAATCATGAGCACTGGGTGGCAACGCACTCTGCTGTTTTAATTATTTTCTCCTCCTTTCCCTTTTCCCCTCCTCTTCTCTCCCTTCTTCCTTTCTCTCCTGCTTGCCAACAGCACCCCATGGCATCTACAGTGTCCAGACCCTAGAGGTGCTTGTGGGCGCTAAGAGGTGATGAGAGAATCTTCTCACGTCATTCACAGAGGTTGAGAACTGAGATGGATCATCCTAGAAGTGATCCGGCCCGGCCCAACCCTTCCAACACCGACTTTCTCCCGCTTCCCGCCGGCACGTAGGAGGGGACATTAAAAGCAACACCTTCCAATTATAGCACCAATTTTCCAACTTGGAACTTGAGGTTAGGAAATTCCAAACTTAGCCTACCCTTGCCACTCCCCTCTCTCTACCTGTTCTCTGTTCAAACCTCAAATAGCATTTGTGGACCTACTGACGCCTTCCGCTTCTATGATAAACACCCATGAGCGCTCAGCTTCCTCTGCTCCTAATGTCTAGCACAAGGCTCTGCAATAACAGAAACTCCAGAAATGTTTGATAAATAAAACATAATTT